GCCAGGGGAGGCCAGAGCCCTGTCTGGGCTCCCCTCCATTTCCCCAGCCAGCTCCAAACTGAAACTCTCCAGCCCCTCCTCTCACCTTTGTCTCTTTCCCGGGCCAGGAGGTCACCTGATCTTTTTCTCCAACACCTTCAGTTGGCACCTTTGCCGGGGAGGGGCCCAGGCCATCAGTTGCCAGGAAACAGGGTGTCGGCCATTCTCTGTGCAGACACCATCACACTGGCCCTCTCGGGCTCTGCAACCATCACACCCCCTTATCCCACCACCTAGATACTTAAGAACTGCATAGGGGAAACTGAGGCACCCACACAGTATTCAGAGAAAACATTAAGAACAGTCCCACTGCGTCACAGTATCTGCCTTGGTTTCGCGCCTGGCTGGGCACAGGTAGGGGTAGCGCCCGCGGGCGGAACGCATTTGCCGGCAGTTCTGCAGAAGGCTGCTTGGCAGAGCTTCCGAGAGGCCTGGGGCCCAAGCCCCCCCCCCCCATGCCCCCGGGCACAGTGGGGCCTTTCCTCTGGCATGCACCCACCTTACTGTCTGTCCCCCCCTCCTTCAGCCAGTCACCTCAGTTTGGGGCCAGAACGGGGGCCAGGGGCTGTGGATGGCGGGACGGGCAGGGTACTGGCCCAGGCGGGTGGAGGAGGGATGGCTTGGGGGCATTGGGCATGGGGTCTGCTGCCCGGAGGGCCCCGGTTCTAACCTGGCTGTGGGTGGCCCATATGCAAGTGGGAGCCGTTCTCAGCTGCCAGCTCTTTGCTGGCCCCGGGCTTGGGCAAATGGCCGGATCCCGCTGCCCGGTTTGGAGCCGTAGCCAAGGGGACAGGCTGGTTCCTGGCCTCCCCGGCGTCTTCAGTCCCGTGACTCCTGCTCTCCGCAGCGGAGTGGGGCTGGGGCACTGGAACGGCCACGGGGCTGAGCTCTGCCGTCCGCCCGCCGGGGCGTTTGCCCAGCCAGCTGGGAGCACCCCGGGGAGGATGGGGCTGTGCCCGCGGGTGCGTTCTGCTGTGTCTGCACGTCTCCCTGAGCCACAGCGTCTGCACTGTTGGCCACGGGCCGGCGGTGGCTTGAGGTCACACTGGGGGTCTGGGGGGCAGCCCATGGCAGCTACAAGTCCCAGGGTGCAAAACGCTACCAGTGTATTGCATGCTGGGACCTGTCGTCTGAACAGGCCTGCAGTGGGTGCATGGAGACGCGGCTGGCAGGGCCGGGTCCCCTGGCAGCTGGCGGGGGGGGGGGGGAAGCGGGGGCAGCTGCTGCATCCTGGTAACCCCCATCCCTGGTTTTCTGCAGGCATCAGCCGGCATTCGCTCTGAAGGTGCCGGGGAGGGCTGCTGCCACGACTGTCTGGATGGCCCCTTGGTGCTGCCCGGGGGAGGACGGCCGCGTGGGAGGCCATGGCGGAGCCTGGCCGGTGACTCCGCTTCTGGGACTGTCTGTGCCTCGGGGTTGCTCTCTCTGGGAGCTGATGAGCGGCAGGACACGGGGAAGCCAAGCGGCCATAGACACGGAGCTGCCCCCTGGCACGCGCCGGGGCTGCGTTTGGCTTGGAACCTGGCCGGGCCTGGCCCAGGGAAGAGCCACCAGGCCCCACGGGGCCGGGGGCAGGTGTCACGTATAAAGCAAAGCTCAAGTGACATGGGAGACGCCCGCGAAGTCCAGCCCCGCCACAGACCTCCTGGCCCCGCAGCCTCCTTGCAAGGCAAAGCGCGTCTGTCGCCCGAGCTCCGGTTCCGCCCGGCCGCTCCCTCCAGCGCTGGAGCTGGTGTATATAACGCCCCCGAGGAACGAGACTAAAGTGCCCCTTTCCCCGATGGCTTCCCCTCCGCTGTGTTGGCATACTGCTTTGTTAGTGCAGGGGGGTTGTTATTGTGGGGTCACTCGGGTGTGCCCCCCCTTGTTATTGTGGGGTTGCTCCCCCTGCGTTGTTGGCGGTTCTGGCCGCTGAGCTCCGCACACTGGGTTGTTATTGGCGGGCAGCCCACGCTGGCTGGGTACTGTGGCGCTGGGCGGTGCGTGTTATTGTAGGGTAGCTGGTGAGCGCCAGGGGCCACGCGCAGGGGTATGTGTATTTAATTCGTGGCTGGCTGTGCCACTCCTCCTCCTGAACGCTGGGCATGTAACATCGTCCCTCGCCGGGCACCAGGCTGACATTCCTCATTGCTGCCCTCTGCCCACGGCACCCACCCATGGCACCTTGTATCATGTCCCACGGGTGGCAAATACCCCTTCCCCCATCCTGACCAAGGGCCAACCCTGGAGCAAACGCCAGACATTATGGGCTCCTCTCCGGGTGCCCCCATGCCCGAGATTGGCCCTTGGCAGCGGGCTGTGAGCGTCCCAACTGAGCCCTCTGGCGGGCCGAGGCACCAGGTGGCGCTGGCATAACACGGGTCCAGGGGAATGGGCAGCGCGGCAGCTGGAGGGTCATGCCCGCTGCTCTCCAAGCTGGGAACAGGCTAGCACCTGGCCTTGGGTGATTATTTAGGGCAGCTGAGCTGGAGGGCACTAGCCACCCCAGAGCCCGAGCTCATCCAAGAGAGTCCAGAACTGGGGGTCACTAGCCAAAGGGGGGATGCCCCCAGCAGCGCCTGCTAATCTGAACTGAGCCGAAACTGGCCCTCCGGGATCCCAGCCCGGCGCCTGGGACGCAGAATCCCACGGGACCATCAGTGGGTGGTGCCACCCAGGCCCAGGGCTCCCCGGGCGTTCCCAGCAGCCAGCCGTGGTGTGCGGCCAGAGCCCTGGGGAACCCCAGGCCAGGGGGCAGCCGTGGGGTGAGGGCGTGGCCAGGGGGCTGGCGGAGGTGAGAGGGCCCTGGGGGCAGCGCCGTGTCTTGCCAAGGGGAACCTTTTTCACGGACGCCGTTGGGGGCACCTCACTGTGGTGGCATCTGGTGCCTTCCAGCTGGGGGGGGGCTCTGGGCCACCCTCCCTGACGGGCAGAGGGTAGCACCAGGGAGGAAACGGGCAAGGCGGGTAAGGGCCCAGGATGGTTTCTGGAGAGGGAGATCTCACCCTGTGGGGGTGGGGGCCTTTATCCCCCTCCCCACCCCACCTCGGGACGGCCAAGGGGCGATTGGGCTGGAGCACCCATGAGTGAGACGCCCTGTCCTGCTGACGGGGTGGGTTTGTCAGTGTAGCATGGGGCAGAGGCGGGTGGGGGCGGTGGGGCAGTAGGGCAGGCCAGCCAGCCCCTGGCCCCAGGGCTCAGTGGGAGCCGGGCTTCCCTTGGGGCGACTCTGTCCAGGAGCATCAGGGGCCTGGCAGCAGAGTGAGCCTGGCTCCTGGGAGAAGAACCCAGGGTCTCAGACCCACGGCAGAGCTGAGGCAAACCCCCATCCGCGGCTGGCCTGGGGTCGGGCCCCCCACTCCGGGCCAGGCCGCACTCCCCCGTGCACCTCTGGCCTTTCCTTCTCCCTGGTCTGCTTTCGTTCTCCTGCCACAGAAACGCTGCTCGGGAGTGAGCCACAGCCTGGCGAACGCGGGGCCCCACTGCCCACGGGCACCCGGCTGGTCGGGGCTGCCACCGCCCGGTGACATGCCGGTGTGGCAGCAAAGCCTGGGCTGGCAGCAGGCCGAGCCGAGGGGCTGGTTGCGTTGCAGTGGGGGAGCCCGGGTCTGGGGGCCTAGCGTAGCCCAGGAACTGCAGCCACATGCCAAGCTGCCCCCATCACACCAACCCCCCGCCCCCCCCCCCGACTCCAAATCAGGCCCATGCCCCCTCCCCTGGCCTGGTGCTGCAGCTGAGCTGAGGCGGGTGCTCACTGGCCCCAGGGAATGGGGCCACCCCCCACCACGCTCCACATCACTCAAACCCAGCGCTGCAGGAGCTCAAGCGCCTGTTGCTTTATCGCTGCTCTCAGCTGGGCTACGGGATCCCCCCACCTGCCCCTGGGGCAGCGCTGGCTCCCCAGGCTGCCCCCAGCCCCCCGTCCCGAGCCCCAGCCGCCCGGGGGAGGTGGGAGTTTGCAAACACGGGGCAGGTTGCTCACCAGTGCTGTCCCTGCTTTGCTGCTAGCCCCAGGGCCTCAGGGCCACGGCGGGAATGAGTCCGGGTCAGCGTTGGGGTTCGAACCCAGGAGTCCTGGTGCCCAGCCCTGTGCATTAGCCCCAGATCCAGGCAGCAGGCCGGTGGCAGAGGTTAATTGAGCTGCAGCCGAGCTCCGGCCGGGCCTGTCCATTCCGCAGGGTGGCACAGCTGGACGGGTCCCCCCTGGCGGCACCCACGACAGAAATTGTCCCTGGGAGGGGGGGAAGGAGTGTGTGTGGGTGTCAGGGTTCCCTCCCCACTCTGAATTCTGGGGTACAGGTGTGGGGACCCGCATGAAAGACCCCCTACGCTTATTTCTAGCAGCTTAGGTTAAAAACTCCCCAAGGCACAAATCCTTCCCTTGTCCTTGGGCGGTATTGCTGCCACCACTAAGTGATTTAAACAAACATTCAGGGAGGGGCCACTAGAGCCCTACCCCCCTCCCACAAATATCCCCCCAAGCCCCTTTCCTGGGGAGGCTTGAGAATAATCTACCAACCGATAGGTAAACCAGGTGAGCACAGACCAGACCCTGCGTTTTAGGACACTGAAAACCAATCAGGTTCTTAAAAGCAGAACTTTATTATAAAGAAAAAAGTAAAAGAAGCACCTCTGTGAAATCAGGATGGAAGATAATTTTACAGGGTAATAAGATTTAAAACACAGAGGATTCCCCGCTAGGCAAAATTGTAAAGTTACAAAAAACAGGAATAAATCTCCCTCTTAGCATGGGGAAAATTCACAAGCTAAAACAAAAGACAATGGAACGCATTTCCTTGCCTTACTTACAATGTTTGCAATCTTAGATGCTTATTTCAGGTAGGGGTTTAGGAGAAGTTTTTTTCCTGCCCTGGTCCGACTCTGGCTGGGAGAGAAACACAAAGAGGCACAAACAAAAACCTCCCCCCCCAGATTTGAAAGGATCTTTTCCCCTTATTGTCCTTTTGGTCAGGTGCCAACCAGATTATCTGAGCTTCTTAACCCCTTACAGGTAAAGGAGGGATTTGATGCTCCCCGGAGCTGTATGTTTATGACAGTGGGGGAGGGCCTAGGTGGCGCTAGAGCAGCGGGGGCACATTGGGGCTTCTCCCTGGGCAAAACCCACAACCCCTCCCTCCCCCCAGCCCTGCACTCCCCCAGCCAGGAACGGGCAGCCCCGGGGCAGGGGGAGATCAGGGCGAGGGAGAGGGGGGCAAGCTGCTCTTTGGGGTGGTGTGAGGTCCCCAGACCCTGTTCAACCCCCTGTAACGTTGGAGAGCGACAGGCCCAGGAACACCCACTGATTCCAGCTACGTTGAGACCCCACGGCTGCCCCGCCCCTGCCAGCCGAGATCCCACCTCCAGCCTGACCCGTGGGCAGCTGCCGTCACCAGGGCCTGACGGGGAGAGAGCCGGGCCCAGGGCAGACCCGTCCTGCCCGGCAGGCCCAGGAGAGGGGAGGAGCAATGCAGGGTGGGTGCGCTCAGGGGGCCGGCGGCCGGGCAATGAACTGCAGGTTGATGGGCTTGTTGGGCACCAGGACAATGCGGGAGACAGACTTCACCTCCGTGCCCTGGGGGTCCGGCCGCAGCTCGAACGTCCGGGTGATCTGTAAGGAGAAGGAGACGTCTCATCTCTCCAATGCCCCAGAGCCCCCTTCTGCCCCCCCGGGGGGATTCTCCCCTGGTGGTTGTGCACACGGGCCCCGTCTGGGGGCTTGTGCCGTGGCTGGGGCAGTCGGCTCCTGCAGGGTGGGGGGACACTGAGCTCCCCCTCTTGGGGCATAGAGTCACGTAGCACCCCTGAGATCTGGGGGCGGCGCATCTCTCTGATGGGAGGGGGGGTGTCTGCAGGTCCGGCCCTCGGAGCTCCCTGTCCTGCGGCCCGTGGCCAATTCCCCCCGTCCGCCCGCTGGCACCGCGGGGTCCCCACTCACCCTGGCCAGAGCCAGGTGCATCTCCAGCTCGGCGATGCGCCGGCCCACGCAGCCGCGGACCCCGTAGCCGAAGGGGATGGAGCTGAAGGGGTGGTGGGCGGAGCCGTGGCCCCGGAGCCAGCGCTGGGGCAGGAAGCGCTCGGGCTCCGGGAAGCTGCTCTGGTCGTGCGCCATCGCGTAGTGAGCCAGGACGAAGAGAGTCTGATGGAGCCGGAGACGAAGGAGGTGAGACCCGTCCCCGCGGCAACCCGTGGCCCTGGCAACGTGCCACTCCTCTTGGTGGCCACAGGCAAGTGAGGGACCAAAGCCCTGGGCGGAGGGGCTGGGGGCGCTGGCTAGATCTGGGCCTGAAGGGGGCTTAGTTACCAGCACCCCTTCTTCGGGACCTGTAGGCCCTGGGCTCCCCTGCCACAGCCCTGCCGGTGCCCCTCACTCCCGACCTGCAGCCCCCAGCTAGCCCTGCCCTGGGCTCCCTCCCCGAGCTCTGCCGGTGCCCCTCACTCCCGACCCACAGCCCCTGCTAGCCCAGCCCTGGTTTCCCCCCCACAGCTCTGCCGGTGCCCCTCACTCCCGACCTGCAGCCCCTGCTAGCCCAGCCCTGGGCTCCCCCCGCAGCTCTGCCGGTGCCCCTCACTCCCGACCCACAGCCCCCTGGTAGCCCGGCCCTGGGCTCCCCCCACAGCTCTGCCGGTGCCCCTCACTCCCGACCCGCAGCCCCTGCTAGCCCAGCCCTGGGCTCCCCCCCCCCCTCCCCC